CCGTAGATTCTGTGTTAGACACTGTCACGTGGGCGCAAACCAACTGTCCCGCTGGCCAAAACCAACATTCCAACACCTGCAATCCGAGGTAACCAATTTTCGGTCAAAATCTATTAGCAGAATGAGATCCACAATAGAATAACAATCCGCCGACCCTGGTGTCCGTGAATTCGCATACAATGTACAAGATAATTTCAAATTTGATTACACAATCAGCTCACATCGTAATACAAGGGATCCCACTGCCTCCGACAACACCAAAACGCAAAGCCCTACTGAAAAAAACTGAATCACCCGATCAAAACCACAAGTTGTACACTCTCATCAAGCCAACTTCGGACACAAGCTGCACACTGCATGATCACGTCTGATAAGACACGTAAACAATGAATCATTTCGATTGATGACCAGTTGTGTGATTTGATTTGCAGTAAGCCATGATAACTGTGTACGGAATTTCGTACGCGGCAGCACACATCATCAGAGGCCAACCAGTCGGTTGAAATAAGGTCGAGCGAAGAAGCACACGGACTACACGACAAGTATGTTTGCAACGGACTGAAACGGTATCAGGCTCTTAAGCGTTTGCATTGAATTATAGCACAATGCAGCTACGAGATCGCAAATCAAAACACGTCTGGACTCAAGTCGCATTTATTCCGGAAGATAAGATGACGATTTTCGTTCGCCCATGTTTCTTTTCTATGAACCGAATTTCTGTTTTGTAAGCGTCTACGACAAACATTCCCTAATGCCTAATTATCTAAGTTTATTTCTCAATAAAGTACTCAGTGAGCATATTTATCACCCGTTTGCCCACATATAAGGTGCCGAGGCTGTTAACAACAGTAATGATAAATTCTTAGCGACGTTTTGGAAAAGCCGGATGTACATAGACACCATCCCGGGAAACTTCATTTGTTGTGATACGTGGAGAGCTAGCACTCGCCTGTGACAGTATCAATAGATACAAAAAAGAAACTACCGATGTTGAAAGACTAAGTTCCTAGTCTAGTCCGATTTCACCGTGTACAGCCCTAACAGGCTTGGCCAGCTGTGCGCCACCACAAACCGTGGAAGCCGCCACAGTCCTCCGATGGCTACGGCAGACGAAGATGAACTATCGCTCACGGCACTCAACGTCTGTGCGGATACTGAGTCCGACTATCTAACGTATTATTGATTGTCCGATCAGCGGGAAAATTCTTGACATTTGGAGAATGGCCAAGATAACACCTGTCCCCAAAAGAAACCTGCGAAGTACCGTCCCATCGCCTGCAGGTCCGTTACGCTTAAATTACTTCGAGATGTTTGTTATCGTGGGTTGTCACGGAGTTCGACGAAGGCGGCATACACCGATTCGCATATCTGTCTTAGCGCTCAATACTTCATGCTGTTGCTGTTCTTAGACTACAAAAACACATTCAACATTCCCGATCGATCGGTATTGCTCAAACTAATTACCAAGTAGTGTCAATCCAAACGATGGCAGATTGATCCGCGATTATCTCACGAATAGAAGGCAGTTCACGTTCCTGAGTGGCAAGAAATCTTATACCAGCCAAGTTGCTTCTGGTGGTCTGCAAGTTGAAATTTCCCCCGATTCTCTTTTCAATACATGTCAAATGATTTCCCGTTACTTCTACATTCACTGGCTTTAAATAAGCAGATACTGTTTTAGGATGCAAAGTACCCTGCTCTGAAGAGGCTTCAGAAATTCAAAGCAAGGTAAACGGCTTTAGAGTATCAAGCTTGGAATGAGCCCTTCGCACAAGGTAATGACCGTGTAGCTCAGGGGTAAGGATTTGAAGTACAAACCGTAATGTCTGTGGTTCGAGTCCTGACAGGGACACAAAAGTACGCATTGGTGACGAGTTCCAAATAGGACAAAACAGCTGTCGTGTTATTTCTCGGTCATCGCATTTGAAGTTAAACGACGTTTATAATTGGTCTTTTTCCCTTTTACTCTCATTAAATGCCTCAAAATGTCACGAGATGTTTTCCCTGTTGGCAGACGAACCATATTCAGCCCTCACGAATTGGTTTCCCAACCTTTCTACCAATCACGAAGCCATATCGACATCAACAATGCTAAAATTCTTTGGAGTCACATTATCACACAATTTATCATGATCACTGCACGTTCAGAACACATTCTGTAAAGTAAGAAAACTTCACGTTTCTCACAAGTTCATTATTAGGCTTGTGAATGCAAGCGTGCATCCCCAATGAGTGTACTGCTCCCCAGTGATTTTCCTCGTTATGTTGAAAATACACTTATTTAGTGACAATATCTCTCAAATACATCTCTAAATGTAATGGCATCAACAGAGATAAACTTTCAGCCTCATAGATAAACATCTATAAGCACGTGCAAATCTTATTGCCAAAGTACTCTCAGACACCTATCACCCATTACACAACGAATTTTCAAAAGTCGCACGCTCAAGGTTCAAACTTTTCTTTGCACNNNNTCTTTATATCGTAATTCTGTTTGCCATATCTCGCACGTCAATTTGTTGGTAAGGAGACAGTTTTCAGAGAATTGAATACTTGGTTGCTTTGTTGACAATGATATCTGCTGCTGACAGTTTCATTTTGTATGATTTTATGAATGTGTATGTGTAAAATGCTGAAAATTCACTCATCCGAATGCATAAAGCCACTACTAACTTGAATTGTTGGATTAAAAAAGGCTGATCGGAACAGTACGCATCAGATTAACCTGCATTGTGCTGAAGTGAACGGTTCTAATCGCACAGGGGTAAGGGTTGAAGTCCCGACTCGAATGTTCACGGTTCGAGTCCTGACAGGGACACAAAAAGTAAGCACTGGTGACCAGTCTCAAACAGGACGAAACAGCTGCCCAGTGCTTTTTGTCGGTTATCGCAAACGTTTCTATCGCATTTGAGTTCTGATTGCAGTTCAGTATTTTGCCTACATACTTTCATAGAAGAATACCCGATTGAAAGTTATGCACTCACAAAACATATCGTACCCAACATCCGCAATTACACATCCCGCAAACCCTCTGAAACGCTAGTGTAGAAAAAAAAACAAGTATTACTCAACGTAACAGTAGTTCTGACTACTTTACGACAGAAACACACTACTGTACAAAAGAATCAAAGGGCTGTTTGGTAAAAGAAAAAGACAGAATGGCTATACAGAGAAACAGAGATGATCACGGTTCATCCGTAAAGTGTGATCACAACCACTGCTCGGTGGGCATCATGGCAATGTCGAGCAAACGCCACGCGGCCCACGGATGAAATTCAGACTGATCACGACAAAGTGCCCACACATGTGTGACACGAAGCACCTTGTGCGGATCACCCTCACGCACGGATCCTGTCTTGTCCCGAATACAATTGATCTGTTGTGCTTGAAAGCTGATCACCAGAACTGGGCCTTGTTCCATCATTTTACCCATTTGAATCTGTAAATGACGATTGAAAAAGTATGTGGAAGTTCACTTGTTTGTTCAACGATTAATAGCACATAGAACATAAAACAACAGAACGTGTAGCATTTCTATACTGATGAGACTATTAATTTACTTGTCCAAGTAATTAAAATATCCTGATAGGTTCACTGAGACCACAATGTGGCGCACAAACCTGTTGCTTTCACCTCATCTACCGATCAATAACAGCAGATCATTCAACTAGGGGGAAAATGTGCAGGGATGGGAAAGCTGACTGGAGGTGTTATCCAGGTAGTAGTTGGGTTAAGAGAGTGAAAAGAAATGGAAAGTTGTAATGTGAATCTTGAAATATTGACCACATAATAGCTGAAAAGTATTTGCACCATTTGAATTTTCGACCGGCCTGTTTAGTGGGACCACTTAGGACAAATGACGGTAGGAAAATAAGTTACCTAAACTGTTTCTGTCAGCATAATGAGAGGCTGTTTAAACTAATTGCTATCGTCTTTGTTGTAGATCACAATCTTTGGAACGAAATCCCGTAATTTAGGAGATTGAACTTACGCACAGTGGGGTTCATTTGGTTACAGTTGATTTTTGTTCAACTCCATTTGCAACTAATCCAATCAGCCACCCGAAGAGTGCAATCGTCCTAACTTCTTGTAAATTGCGCCTAGGGCTGTATAGACTGCTGTAAAAAAGTGGCCTATCGAGCATTCGACTGGTTACCCTACAACATTCATTTTTACACTATGACCCCGATTCGGCCTGCCAACGGAGAAGCAACAGATCGTAATTTTGCAACTCCTCCTTCGGCCCGCAGCCAAAGGATGAACTACAGACAGAACAGTTGGACGATACCGAGCGCGTGCCCAGGTTGCAAATGGAACGGCCACCTTGGTGGCTAACTGTGAATAGATTAGGGCCATCTCATTAAATAATAAGTAGACAAAGGTCTGTGACAATCCGTGCCCTCGAGCAAATCATGAACTTTATCCCTTTCTATTAGGAGTATTGTACCGTAACTTGTTTGGCACACAGTCTGAACTTAGGTGCGTGAGAACAAATAAACAAAAGCGGCAATCCTCGAGGATGTAGAGGAGTTTCCGGTGGGTAACCGATATCATCGATTAAAAACGATAAGTGTCCATTGACAGCATCGTGATAGTTATGAATATGGCCGGTCACAAAATTATCATCATCGTACGGCGAAATACAGTGAAGCGAACTTCAATGATTGCTGGCAAACTCGCAATACATACAGTTGGTGAGAATACGTATGATGGAGAGGTTGAACCCATCTTTGAGGAGTTTCAGTTCAGTTCCTTTTGTACAATGATTAACCATGCACTCTCGTGCGCCGGATTTGGTTGTTTTCTTTTGGCTGCCCATTTCGATGAAGCAATAGGAGGAAGACAGGAAAGTTGAAAGTGGGATCGAAGAGAACATGGGAATTCCAGTGGACTAAGGTTGCAAAGAAATTGAGATACAAGAACACCATTGTTTTAGACACTCAGTGTCCCCAACTATGGATAACAATGATCCTGAGGTTCTCATCCAGGGAGTCTAACGTGAGCTATACGATCGAGTCCCCTGATTGGGGTTCTCACACCCTCGTGCCGGATCCTATCTTGACCACCCTCGGCTTTTTCCACCCACTATCTTCCTCGGCGAAAATCATGCGCCGTGGCAACCTATTTTGAGACATGCGTAGCACATGCCACAATCAATCCGATTTATGGAGGTTGACCACTTGCTCTAGTGGATGATCGCAATTGCCTAAAATTGTCCCTCGTCCGGTTTCCCCACCAGGTTCGTGCAATGTTGAGTAGGCAGCGGGGTTCAAACATCGACAGTCTTCTTTATCCTGTTTTCTTAATGGCCACGTTTCTACGCTGTATAGCAGAACTGGCCGAACTGCTGCAGCATACACTCCTTCCTTCATGGACAGCAGGGTATCACGGCGGCTCCGCAGATGTCGCAAGTTGGAAAATGCCAATCGAGCCTTCTGTATGCAAGTTGACAATTCATCCGTGATACTTCCACCGGGTGAGATAAAGTTGCCCAAATAACAAAACGTATCCACATGCTTTATTACCTCCCCAGTTAGAATGGTGCTCGGTGCTGAACCAACCTATCATCATTTCAGACGTTGAAGGAGCAAAACCCATGACTTCCCTAGTACTCAACCTATCCAGAAAAGCTTACAACTTACCCCGATCTTCACTTAGCACTGCAATTTTATACTCTCGATCAGACAGTCTGCCATCTGAGAGCAAATGGACATCACTGTACTGGCACGATAATAGGGCCGTTTTCATAATTATATGGTGACAAAGTTAAATGGAAATGGAGCGAGGTTCACAATGAAAAACACCAATTTCCGTGGTGAACTCAGGGGAAAAAGAACTGCAAGTTCGGAGTCCGCTTTTTCTATCGGTATAAAAAGATCGTAATATTGAAATAAAAGTCTCCGACACACTCTTCAGGGAGAGGCTGTGCCGGAAGTTAAAACGGTCGACTAAGTCGTATGCCGCTTTCAGGAGGAAGACAGGTGGGTCTACGAAGATAATGTTGGCGTTCCAGAATTCAGCGAAGACTGAAGATGTAGTTGATACAACCTCGACGAAGTAAAATGACAGTGATCAGTTTGGAGACAATGTTACTCAAACTGATTCCTCTGCGGTCTTCACAAGATGATCTGTCACTTTTCTTGTAGATCGGAAAGACGGCCAACTTATTCACTATTCAGTCGGAACTTGTTCCGTCTCCCATAATGAGCCCAGAAGTTTCGCCATCTTCGAGATCAAGGCTGAACCCAAGTCTTTCAGTTTTTATTTCCGAGCAGTTAGATGATTGTGATAAGTTCACTAACAGGATAACACGTGATCAAGGGCACCGTCGGAATCGCGAAGGCTATGTCTAACTCCTGAACTCGCTCCAAATATCAGTTGGTTCCTGTTCGTACTTCCACATACATAGACAATTTTTTTTATTACACACCTAAGTGTGATGAACAGCAGACGGGGTAAACACCATAGTCACGAGGACCTGCTGTTCAGTAGTTGGAATCGGCAGCCTAAGCCCCAGAACTTGGAGTGGCTAACCACATAAGGCCCCGATAGGTTAGTCGTGGTATTGAACCGGACGACAGCAAAGCTGCCTACCACCAAAGTCGGGTGGCGGTGGCGGGGCTCGAACCTCGGACCACAGGGTCCAAAGCACGCCGGTGACAGCGACTAAACCACTGCGCCACCACCATCCCAATTTAATACCTTGCCCAGCTGTTTGTTGACCATACGGCAACTGTCACCCACCCTAGGGAAAGACTCTTGCGTTAACTTTTTTCTGTTAACAACTATACAAGTTCGTAAGTTGTTGAAAATTCACTATATTGTGGAAAAGACGGTTTCTTGACTTGACTTGATTCGACTAGAAAAAGTCAATATGAACAGCCCATCTAGTCTGGAGGGTCTATACATTTTGAGCAAACCTTTTGCCGTGATACCTTTATTTCAGAGGGCCCATATCAACTGGCAGTATTTGCTCAGCTGAAGCATGAATTAGGAGGTCCACACTTAAAATATGCATCGGAAAAGCGGAGCTGGAGCCGTTAAGTGAGTCTGTCGCAAAAGTGACTGAAACTCAATGCGAACACCGATGTTGCCCGCAAAGTCAAAAGAGGAGCAGTTAATCAATTCTGCATTACTTAGTCTATCCATATTGTCAAGTTACTCACTCCACCAAGTAGGCTCACAAACAATACTGGAAGGCGATTGCAGACAACATGTAAATGGCGGTGACGCAGTGCCTTAATTGCTGTCACCGGTGCGCTTTTGACCCTATGGTTCGAGCCCCGCCACCCAACTTTGGTGGTAGACAGCTTTGCCGTCGTCCGGTTCAATACCACGCCTAATCTAGTGGGTCTTATGTGGTTCGCCACACTCAAAGTCCCGGGGCTCAGGTTACCAGTTGCCGTGACTGAAATCAGGTCTTCGTGACTCTGGAGTTCACCCCGTCTGCTGTATCGAAGACCAAAAATCATTTTGGTCTTAGACACCTGAAGCGGAAATCCGTAAGGAGATCCAAGCCTTGGGACGTCACAAAGCGCCGGGCTCCGATGGCCTTCCTCGTGCTCTACTTAAAGTTGGTAGAATTAAACTTGTTAGAGAACTACAAGTTCTGTTCTCTAAAGTTTGGAACACTGAGTAGGTCAACACCCCGTGGAGGGAATCGATTGTCGTCCCCATCTTCAAAAAGGGTCCGCGCAATGACTGCGCCAATCATAGATGTATAAGCCTTATCCCGATAGCATCAAAGCCGTTGGCGTCCGCCATTCTCCGCCGATTGTACACTGCGCATGAGGAGCAGACTGGGTTTCGTGCCGGTCGTAGATGCATCGATCAAATCTTCACTCTCCAGCAGCTGCTAGAGCACCGTCATGCTTACCAAAGACCAACGATTGTTGTATTCTTAGACATCCGTGCGACCTTCGACTGTCGATAGAACACTATGGAACTGTTTGTTGAGGAATGGAGTACCTGAGAAGTACGTGTCGATCCTCAAAGAGTTGTATCGTCATACCTCAGGACGGGTTTGGGCCTATAGTCAACTTTCGCCACCCTTCACCGTCTCCAGTGGAGTTCGATAAGGCTGCCTTATATACCTATTCCTTTTAATCTGTCATAGACGACGTTCTACAGAATGCTTTATCCGGTCTAGCAAACGGTAGAGTCCTCGACTCAGAATATAGAGGTGATATCACCTCGAGGGTGACAATACACAGGGAGTCCGACAAGCTTTGATTCGCCTAGCAATAGAGGTATCCAGGCATGGTATGTGCTTTGCCCCTTCCGAGTGCACAGTGCTTGTCCAAGACTGGAGGAGCCTGTGGCTGCACTCACCCTGTGATCAGCTGGAAGTAGTTGGGAGCCTTAAGTACCTCGGTAGCTGGATCGCAGCTGGTGGTGGTGTTGGGGAGATCAAATCACGAATAGCGAAAGCTAGAGCAGCTTTTGCCAACCTGCGACACCTGTGACGTCAACACGATATCCGTTTGTCCCTTAAGGGAAACATGTAAATCGCCGCGGTTCTTAGTGTTTTGCCGTACGGTTGCGAGACCTAGCCTCTCTGCGTTGATGATGCTAACAGAAGTAATCGCTGTGCATCGCCTCCGATGGCTTGGTCACATATTGCGTATGCCTGCCCATCGACTACCTTTCCGTGCATGGCGCAGCGGTCAGGCCATGACATGGGCTAGAGGCATGAAGAAGCTGGCTTCAGCTTTGGCTTCGTTTGGTGCATCCCACC